GGGGGGGGGCGCTAAGCCGCGCCGGGGGGACTCTTGGCCTTTTGTTATGAGGATGGTGTTTTGATAGGTTAGGCTGGTGTGGATCGGGCGCGTTTCTGATGGCGTTAAGATATGCTCAGCGTCCGCGCAGACCTCCCCACCCCGCTCTCTCCTCCCTCCTCCTCCTCCAGGTCGTATGGCTTCCTCCAGATCATAATAGACCCGCACATGCCCATGTGTGTGTCGTTACGCAGCACCGCGTGGCACATACAGAGCAAGCGCACGACGCAATGCAAGCTTTATTATTATATTCCAGGGGGAAAAGAAGTGGTGCAGTGCACAGTCCACAGAGAGTCCAAGTCCCCACCACGCCCAGAGTCACATCGGCATCCGCGTCCAGCTCTAGACCGTCCAGAGCAGTGCCCGCCCCACGGGCCGCACATTGTCTTGCTCTACACGCGCTCACATACTCGCGCGCACGCGCTCACACACACACACACATACACACACACACACTCGCGAGCGTGACGTAAGGGGCAAAGGCCACACAATCAGTTACCTAAGCCCTTATATTTTTTTTCTCCCCCGCGGCGGGGCGCGTCAGGTATATGGGATATGGGACCCTTCGCGCGCGGCTCTTGCGCGCGCTCTCGTGTGTGGCCTTCGGCGCGGCCTTGGTGCCGGAAGAAAAAAACAACACAAAAACGGAAACCAGAAGAAGAAGCAACTGCACTACTTGTGCGCTCGAGGGCTCACATCGCCGCCAGCCCGCCAGCCAGCTCGACGCGCGTGTCACGCAGTTCTAGGACGCACGCCGCCGGCTCGACTTCCAAAGAAACATACGTGTCAGAGTCAGAGCACGAGGGCTCTGTTGTCGCGGCCGCTAAAAGTGATTTCTGTCGGTATGGCTCGACATACCAGGCGACCCCAGGCATCCGCTTGTTTTTCTGCCGGTGGTGCACACTGACCGACTTAGTACTATTCTGTGTATGGCAACGGACAACTGCAGGCGCGGTTTTATGGGGGGGGGGGGG